GTTTATGCTTCCAATTTTGGGCAATTGTGAATAAAGCTGCTATAAATATCTATGTGCAGGTTTCTGTGTGTAAAATTAGTTATATGGGTAAACACCTGGGAGCACAAATGCTGGATTATAAGGTCACATTATGTTTAACTTAGTGAGAAGCTACTGACTGTCCTCCAGACTGCCCGTACCACTTTGCATTCTCACGGGCAATGAATGTGAGAATATTCTTTTTTTTTTTTTGAGACAGAGCCTCAAGCTGTCCCCCGTGGCATTACAGCTCACAGCAACCTCCAACTCCTGGGCTCAAGCGAGTCTCCTGCCTCCGCCTCCCAAGTAGCTGGGACCACAGGCACCCGCCACATACGCCCGGCTATTTTTTGGTTGCAGCCGTCATTGTTGTTTGGCGGGTCCAGGCTGGGGATTCGAACCTACCACCTTAGGTGTACGTGGCTGGCGCCTTAGCTGGTTGAGCTATAGGCGCCGAGCCATTCTTTGTTTTTTGAGACAGAGCCTCAAGCTGTCCCCCTGGGTAGAGTGCTATGGCATCACAGCTCACAGCAACCTCCAAATCCTGGGCTCAAGTGAGTCTCTTGCCTCTGCCTCCCAAGTAGCTGGGACTACAGGCGCCCGCCACAACGCCTGGCTATTTTTTGGTTGCAGCCATCATTGTTGTTTGGTGGGCCCAGGCTGGATTTGAACCCGTTAGCTCAGGTGTATGTGGCTGGTGCCTTAGCCACTTGAGCCACAGGTGCCGAGCCAATGTGAGAATATTCTGCTGCTCTACATAGTTGCCAGCACTTGTTGTCAGCATTTTGGATTTTGGTCATTCTAATAGGTAGGTAGTAAATCACATTTTTTTTTAAATTAGCAATTCTCTAATGATACCTGATGTTGAGTATTTTGTACATGCTTATTTGCTATCTGTATATCTTTGCTGAGGTATCTGTTTAAATCTTTTGCCCATTTAAAAATTGTGCTGTTGTTGTGTGGTGCCTGTGGCTCAAGGAGTAGGGTGCCAGACCCATATACCAGAGGTGGGGCCGGCGTTCCTGGCCCTGGCCAATTAAAAAAAAAAAAATTCTGCTGTTCTCTTATTCCTAAGTTTCAAGAATTTTTTGTATGTTTTGGGTTACCAGCCTTTTATCAGATAGGTATTCTGTGAATATTTTCTTTCAAACTGTGGCTTAACTCTCATTCTCTTAACAGTTTCTTTCACAAAACAGAAGTTTTTAATTTTAAAGAAATCATGGATTGTGTGTTTGATTTGTCTAAAAAGTCATCACTAACCCCCAACGTCACCTAGATTTTCTCCTGTTATCTTCTAAAACTTTTATGTGAAAATTATGAGATCTGTATCTAGATTCATTTTTCTAACATGTGGATGTCCAATAGTCCCAGCATCATTTGTTGAAAAGACTATGCTTTCTCCATTTAATTGCTTTTATTCCTTTGACAAAGAACAGTTGACCATATTTGTGTGGCTCTATTTCTGTGCTTTCTATTCTGTTTCATTGGTCTATTTGTCTATTATTTTGGCAATATCATGCCGCCTTGACTACTGCAACTTTATAATAAACCTTGAAGACAGTACCAGTCCTCCAACTTTGTTTTTTTTTTTTTTGCAGTTTTTGGCCAGGGCTGGGTTCGAACCCGCCACCTCTGGCATATGGGGTCGGTGCCCTACTCCTTTGAGCCACAGGCACCATCCCAACTTTGTTTTTCTTCAATATTTTGTTGGCCATTCAAGGTATTTTCCCTTCTCATATAAATTTTATTTTATTTTATTTTTGAGCCAGAGTCTCACTATGTCATCCTCAGTAGAGTGCCATGGTGCCACAGTTCACAGCAACCTCAAACTTAGGCTTAAGCGATTCTCTTTCCTCAGCCTCCCAAGTAGCTGGGACTACAGGTGCCCACCACAACGCCTGGCTATTTTTTGTTGTAGTTGATTAGCTGGCCCAGGCTGAGTTTGAACCACCTCAGTGTATGTGGCTGGCACTGTAACCACTGTGCTATAGGCGCCGAGCCATAAAAAGAGTTTGTTCATATCCACAAAATAACTTGCTGAAATTTTGATTAGAATTGCACCATCCATTTATGTAGATCTCCTTTGATTTCTTTCATCAGAGTTTTATAGTCCTCCTCATATAGCTCTTGTACTTGTTTTGTTAGATTTACCTAAGTACCTAATATACCTAAGCATTTCATTTTCTGGTGCTACTGCACATAGCATTGTGTTTTTAAATCCAAATTCCAATAATTCATTGCTGGTATATAGAAAAGCAAGCAACTTTTACATATCAGTCCCCCCCTCATCCATGGCTTCACTTTCCATGGTTTCAGTTACCTGCAGCCAACCATGATCTAAAAATATTTAATGGAAAATCCCCAAAATAAACAATTCATAAGTTTTAAATTGTGTGCCATTCTTAGTGTGATGAAATTTAATGCCATGCTGCTCTATACTACCCAAGACGTGAATCATCCCTTTGTCCAGCGTATCCACACTGTATACTCTACCTGCCCATTAGTCACTTAGTAGCTCAAAAAGGGACCACATTTACATAACTTTTATTACAGTGCATTGTCATAATTGTTCTATTTTATTATTGGTTTTGGTAATATCTTACTATGCCTAACTTCATCATAGTATAGGGAAAAATAGTGTATATAGTGTTTGGTAGTATCCATAGTATTAGACTTTCTTATATATACCATAGGAGTTTCCCATTCCCCCAAATAAAGAGTATCTACTGTATCCCATAATCTTGTGATCACTTATTGATCCTAGGAGTGTTCTGTAGAGTTTTTTGGATAGTATACACATTCAACCTTGTCATTTGTAAACAAAGACAGTTTTATTTCTTCCTTCCAAATCTGTATACCTTATTTTGCCTTCTCTAGTCTTATTGTATCAACTACAACTTACAGTACAATGATGAACAGTTGTAGTGAGAGGGGTCATTCTTGCCTTATTCCTGATCTTAAGGATAAAGTACCCAGTTTCTCCTCATTAAGTATATTAACTGTGTAGATTTTATTTATTAAGTTGAGGAAGTTCCCCTCTATTTCTACTTTGCTAAGAATTTTTTAGCATAAATGGATCCAGAGTTTCATTAAGGGATGATGAAAAAAATTCTGGAGATGATGATGGTTATGGTTGCACAATAGTGTGAATGTACTTAATGCTGTGGAACTGCATGCTTAAAAATGGTTGACGTTACGTATATTTTCCCAACATTAAAGAACAGAACTTTTAGAAAAGGGCTATCTGAACCAAAAGAAGTTTTAGTACTTAACATAACCTCCCTCCAGGCGCCCTGGTGTGCCCCTACCTTAGGTATTTGCATGCTCATTCCTCACCCTGGAGAGTCTTCCTCCAGATATGCAAACCGTGAGTAGACAGATGCCAGGGGATAGATATCTGTGCAGGGGATACCCAAGATATATCCAGAAAACTCTCTGTGGCTGGGCTGGGGAGGAGGCTGGAAGAAGGTTAGGAGCAGCGGTTGGATTCTAGCCTATCTTCCTGTACTTACTACAAGCTATGCAGCTTTGGTGGAGCCAGCTAACCTTTCAGAGCCTCAGTTTCCTCATCTGTAAAATGAAGGTGTCAATGTCCTCCAGCCAAAGGCCACCAAGAACACACTTGCAGGTGAATAAGTTGGTATTATTGTTCATTGCAGTGAGGGTGAATGGGGAACTGTAGGGCAATTCGGTAAGAGGTATTGAAAAAACTTACTAAAGGATGTCGGCTTGGGTTGGGTGATTTATTTTTTCACAGATCAGATGTCATCAGGAATTAGAGGGTAGTTCTCTGGGCATGTCAGTAAATGCTATAGGTGAGGAGGCCAGAGCAGAGGAGGGCTCAGCTGTGGCTGATGACAGAGCAGAGGTCTTTGCTACTAGTCAAGAAAGGGCAAGTCTGGGACATCATGGGAGGCACAGTGATCTGTTTTTTTGTCTGGGCTTATACAAAATTATGACACGGCCATATTTTGTCTCCTTGTATCATGATGGTGCTCCTCTCTACAAGATTGTTTTGTGACCAACAAGATTTGACAGTGACCAATAGGAGAACCCCATAGCCTCGTTGTGAGCACCAAACTGGCTTCTGCGGTCAGGGTCTGCTTTTCTCTTGGAGGTAGTAACAGAAATAGGCTGAGTAGGACCTTAGCATGGTATCCTATGAAGACGAATGCTCAGGGTGGTGGGAGCTGATTTGCAGGGAGCAAGGGATGTGATCAGAACGATCAATTGTGTTTAGGAAGACCAGAGGCCTAGCCCAGGCAGTGGGAGGGGGGCTAGTGAGACTGGAGGGGAGCTGAGGCAGGACAGGATGGATGTAGGAGGGGTGTCCCCTGACTCGGACAGCTGGAGGGGGTCAAGGGCGGCTCCAGGGCTTCTGTCTTTGGAAACGGTTAGCAGGCATTTAGGCTCTTCAGGTAGGGTGCTGAGAGCCCGTGTGAAGGTCATGAGGTTGGTGGGAGGCTACAGAGTTGTGGACTTAGGGCTATGTACAAAGCAGAGAAGCGAGTTCCGCCAGGGGCCACAGACAGAGCAAAGGCGCTGCCTTCCGGAGCGCTAGGGTCCGGGTAGGAGCGTGGGAGGAGGGACGCGGAGGAGACCCAGGCCCCTGTCCCAGCGCACCAGACGTGCCCCAGTCCGTGAGTGCAGAAAGATCACTGCGGCGAAAGCCCACCTGGAAACCCCGCGCGAGGAGCCGGCAGGGTGGGTTTCTGACAGAGCAGAGACGTCGGGTGGCATCCGGGGCGTCACTTCCGAGAGGCAGCGCGGCTTCTCCACCTTCTGGCCGTGCTCTGCGCCTACAGCGCGCGCGCGCGAGGGCTGGGACTCCGACGTTGGGGAAGCCATCACAGGACTGGAAGGCTGCCAGGAGGGGTCGGGCCCAGCCGGAGGCGCCGTTGCCCTTTTAAGCGTCAGGCCTGGGGCGCACGCGCAGTCGGGCCGTTGCACACGCAGGCGCAGACGCGGCGGCGGATGTTTACAGCAGCTAAGGTCGGAGCGGCGCACCAGGCTGCGGACGAGCTGGGGACCAGCTCGAGGACCTGCAAGCGGCACGAGCTCGCGGGCTGGCCGAGCCTGGAGGTAGAGACACCGTCGCCCCTCGGCCCTGCCTACGGCGGGTGGGTGGTGTCGCCCCTTGGCCTCATCCCTCTCGATCTCCTCGCCAGGTCCTCCAAGCCCTAGACTCACCCCCGCCCCCTGGGTCCCCGCCCTCGGGTCCCCGCGTCCGGCCCCCGAGCGCTGCGCTTTCCGGGCGGTGTCTCCTGGCGCCCGTTGCTCACACTCCTGGGTTTTCTTAGCGCAAACCTGCGGCTCGTCCTTGACTAAGTGGGAAGCGTTTGCAGTTAATTTTAAGGCGAGGCAAGAGTTAAGGTTTAGAGCGAATTGTCCTTTAGCCTTTTCAGGAGATGATAGTCTGTTAGAAAGTTTCCACACCCCCTAATCTCCTCCCCCACCCCCCGCTGCGCGCCATTGAGGTGCTAGGAATTGGTGAGAGCTCTGGTACTTAAATTAAGGCGCTTGAAAAAGGCTTATAGTGGTTGGACCAAGGAGATCTGAATGGGATTGAGCCTGTGTTTTTGTAAAAGGGATGTCCCTCCCGCGCGGATGTCTGCCGCAGCGTTGCACCTGAAACGAATCCGTTAGATACCTGCCCTTGTCCTTAGTCGTGTGCCTGGGATAGTTTTCTTTTTTCTTTTCACGAGGGAATAACTAAACAACTCCATTCTCGGCCTGTGGTAGAATGTCCTGCAAGAATTAGTGAAGTTCTATGTTAACCAGTATCATGAAGATATTTCAAATTGTATATGAAAACATCATACTGTATCCCATGATTGCATTAATGTACACAGCTATCATTTAATTAAAAAAAAAGAATTAGTGAAGTTGAGGTGCCTTGAAGCAAATCAAATTGGGATAGCTGTGCTTGGGGGATATGGAGCTGTGCGGGGACCTCAGAGTTAGTGGAACTCGGTTTCGGAGGTCAATGCCTTCACCCCTTGGGCTCACCCGTGCTCGTCACTCCCCTGGGACATGGCTGGGGTGTTCTGAAAAAGGGCTCATTTTATTGTTTTGCAATTCTGGTTGTTAGAAAGCTTTCTGTGTATTTAGCAGGCAGCGTCTCCACTCAGCACGTACTACTGTTCTGACTTTGTCAGGCCTATGAATAGTGTAGATGTACTTCCCGGTGCTCCTCGCCTTATGAAGGGGTTACATCTGCGTAAACACATCGTGAAAAAGAGTTATAAGTTGGACCATCTTAAGTTTAGGACTGATTGTGTTTTGGAAAATCCTTTTGGTTTCCTTTTAAGCGTTCTTGTTTTCAAAATGAGAAGTCTCCGTTTTCCCCACCATTCTGCTTGAAGGAGGTGTGGTTTTGGGTCTTTTTCCCCAGCTCATTTTCCACGTGAATTATTTTGTCCATATTCACCTTAAGAAGTGACATCCAGGTTGGAACGCGTGACAAAGCCATAATCACAGCTGCCTGAGTTGTCAATTAAGACCTTCCTACGCCTGCTGCTGCTCCCTGAGTCTCATGTGCCCCGGCAACCGGTTAATATTGGAAGGAGCAGTAACGCTGTTTTGTTGGACTGTGGCCAGTTAGTACAGAGTAGTGAATTTTACATCAGAGATTACAGCACAAAAATAAAGTGCCAAGTATACTCAAGTGTAGCATCCTAAAAATGATTCTCTACCAATCTGAAAAATTGGATTTGACTGGATTGTATAGTAGATTCTAGGTGAAAGTGGTATTATTTGGTTTGGCAAAGGTATCTGTTTGTGTTAGTATTTTTGGTGACATCATAAATGATCAAATCCATGGTTGGCTATAAGCAGTGATGGTTTCTGGTGTGAGGGAGTGTTACATTACCAGGAAAGCTAATAATAATCATTAGATTCTATAGATGTTCTCATGTATCCTACCAATGGCAATAGATAGGCTTACTCCGTAGTTAAAAGATGAGCTTGTATGGTAAAAAATGTTGCTTTTTGAAAATTTTTAAAAGCTGTATCTAAATCCAGCTCCCTCCTCATCAGCTGGCTATGTAGTCATGAGCAAATTAATTGCCCACCTCAATTTGCCTCATAATATTGTAAAGTTTAAATGAGATTGTGGATGGTAAGGGGTACCTGTAAAAAGGTGGCAGCTCTTTTACTAAAAACCTTTCTTTTTGATATGATCTAAACTTTCAGATTGAGGAGATGTTTAAAATAAGTGGTAGGTGCTTAGTAGAAAATGGAACATACCCAATATGTAGTTTGAGGTCATTGTCTAAAAATAAAATGATAGTACTGAGATAGAACAGTTGGGATAGAACAATAGAGCTTTATATATAGGCTTCTGGGTGAACAGGTAGCTTTCCTCACCCAGCACTGAGTAGGAGTCAAGATTTCTAAGTCTTCTCAGTAGACCCTTGAGCTTGCAAACATAAGAGTCCTCTTTTAACCAGTGACCCAAATTTTAAGGGGACTGAGCTTGGCTAGGGTTGTAGCTTCAAAAGTAAGTGGTTAATATCTAAGATTAAACTTGACCTCATTAGGACTTAATTCCATCCATCTGAGTTAACTGGCCATGGACCATACTCTAACATGGGGTCTGAAACAACTTTAAAAGGCTGTGAAAATTTAATAATTGGACCACTCTAATGATTTGAAAAATTTAATATTCAGTTCTAAAATCTTGACTGTGAATATTGACTATAAAATGGAAGAGAATTTGGGTTAAGCCATATCCTTTACATGTCCACCTGTTAAAAGAACTGATGATTCATCCATGTGATTGTTTAATTTTCATTCCTGGGAAAGCCTCTCCCATTTGCCATTAGTGCGCATGGGTATGTGTGTGTAGTCTTTCCCCTCAGTCTGTCTTTGTGATCCTCATTTTGCTGTTAGAAATCTGGAGAATTGTGGAGGAGGAAAACAAGTATAACCTTTTTATATTTATTTATTTATTTATTTATTTTTTGAGACAGTCTCTCACTATGTTGCCCTTGGTAAAGTGCACTGGTGTCACAGCTCACAGCAACCTCAAACTCTTGGTTTAAATGACTCTTTTGGCTCAGCCTCCGGAGTAGCTGGGACTACAGGTGCCTGCCATAACACCTGGCTATTTTTTTGTTGCAATTCTCATTGTTATTTAGCTGGCCTGGGCTAAGTTTGAACTGGCCAGACCCCGTGTATGTGGCTGGCACCATAACCACTGTGCTATGGGAACCGAACCAGTATAATCTTTTTTAGTGATAATTTTATAGTAGGTTGTTAAGAAGGTTGTTCTGGTCGTCTTTTTTCCCAACAATTTATATGGGATATTTTATAAAGCATTACCATCTTAGGTGAAGTGAAGCCATTATTTTGAAAAAATTACATGGAGTAAGTATAAAATCAGAAAGGATATTTTTACAGTTTTAGGGAGAGTAAGACTTCTCCAGATGAAAGAGCATTTTCCTATGAATTAGAGGAAGGTAATTGTATGTTAATAGTTGGTCTCAGAGGGTACATGCTGTCCATTTTCTTCTTGAAGGCAGTGTGGGAGAAAGTAAGAAAAGTACTTTTTATTTTTAAAGGCCGGGAAGGCTATGTAGCCTACACTTCAGAAGGGGCTGAGGAAGGTCTGGTAGCAGCCCTTCCTACTCTGAAGCTTGAAACAGATTTTGTTTTATCACAATATGTTCTATTTGGGGAGAAAGTTTTAGTGATTTTTTTTTTTTGTCTGAAGTTTAACTGCCAAGAGTATCCAAATCAACATATTGAATGGATTGCTTGACTTGGGTGGGTATATGTGTATATGTTGAGGGTGTAGAGTTCCAGATAAAATATAGGATGGCCACTTAAATTTGAAGTTCATATACTTAATTTTTTAGTATTGTTGAATACTAAAAAATACTGAATTTCTAATAGAACTGGGATTTTTTTTTCCTTCTTCTAAATCTGGTATCTCTGGGGTTGAGGTAGATGTTGAGAAAAGGTATTCCATTTGTATTATTTTCTGAATTCAGAATTTGAAATTGATATATGTTTAAAACTGTTGGCAGCGCCTGTGGCTCAAAGGAGTAAGGCGCCAGCCCCGTATGCCAGAGGTGGCGGGTTCAAACCCAGGACCAGCCAAAAAAAAAAAAAAAAAAAAACAAACCAACTGTTATTGTTCTGCTCATACCTGTAATGTAAATGGCTCTTTTTAAAATGTTTAATTGTAGTATTTCCTAAGTGCAATCTTGAACATGGGTGGTGCTGTGAGTGCTGGTGAAGACAATGACGAGCTGATCGACAATTTGAAAGAAGCACAGTATATCCGCACTGAGCTGGTGGAGCAGGCTTTCCGAGCAATTGATCGTGCAGATTATTATCTTGAAGAATTTAAAGAAAATGCTTATAAAGATTTGGCATGGAAGCATGGAAACATTCATCTTTCAGCCCCGTGCATCTACTCGGAGGTGATGGAAGCCCTGGACCTGCAGCCTGGACTCTCGTTTCTGAACCTGGGCAGTGGCACTGGGTATCTCAGCTCCATGGTGGGCCTCATTCTAGGTAGGTCTGGGAAGAGAGTATGAAAGCTTGTTTGTCCCAGGGCAGGAGGCGATTCTTCCACAGAAAGTACAGCTGTGGGTGGCTAGCCCTGGTGGACACTTCTTAGCAGTTACTGGTGTTGACACATGGTGCCCCTGGGTGCTGGGCAGAGGGATGATGGAGGAAGCTTGTGTGCTCCTCACGGGTCCTGAGCTCAGTAGAGGTACCTCTCCTGTTCCCTATCTCTTCCTACTTGCACTGCCACAGTCTGTTCTTTGTGCCACTACCTCTGGACAATGGAGGACCATGTGAGTTGTATAAATCTTAACCTCACTGTGATTTCTTGATTTAGCTGAATCAGTCTTCATTGTTATTTCCTCTCTCAACTTCGCAGTCCTACAGGAGTTAAAGTTCTTCCAAAACAGTTTTTGTTTGTTCTGCTGTTTTAATACTAAAAGAGTAGTAGCTACAAATTGTTTATTTTTAAATAAATGTCATGGGTTGAAGGGATTTCCCAAGGTCTTGCTCTGTTGTCTAGGCTAGCTTGCAGCAACCTCAAACTCCTGGGCTGAAGTGATCCTCTTGCCTCAGCCTCCCGAGTAGCTGGAACTATAGGTGCCACCATCCCATGCAGCTAAATTTCCTATTTTTTGTAGAGAGGGGGTTTACCTCTTGCTTGGGCTGTTCTTGAACTTGCTGTTCCCTCGGCTGATCTTCCCACCTCGGCTTCCCAGAGGACAAGGTTTGCAGGTGGGAGGCACCATGTGTGGCCATCACAGTTTATCTTATTTGAAGGCATTTAGCTCACTTCTATAGACAAGTAAGTTATGTGAATATACAGGAGAGTGCAGTTATTTTTATTTATTTATTTATTCATTTATTTATTTTTTTGCAGTTTTTGGCCGGGGCCAGGTTTGAACCTGCCACCCTCGGTATATGGGGCTGGTGCCCTACTCCTTGAGCCACAGGCGCCACCCAGTTATTTTTATTTTTAAGTATTTATTTTGAGACAGAGTCTCACTTTGTCACCCTTGATAGAGTCTCGTGGTATCATAGCTCACAGCAACCTCAAACTCGGGCTCAAGTGATCCTCCTGCCTCAGCCTCCCGAGTAGCTGGGACTATAGGTGCCCACTACTATGCCCGGCTAGATTTTTTAGAGATGGGGTCTTGCTCTTGATCAGGCTGATCTCAAACTCCTGAGCTCCTGGAGCAGTCCAACTGCCTTAGCCTCCCAGAGTGCAGGGATTACAGGTGTGAGCCACTGTGCCCTGCCCAGTTATTTTTAATATTAATAACAATAGGAGCAGTCCTACTTTGTGAAAATGCTACATTGGGGGAGAGATATCTGTTTTTAGTCTGAGTGAGGTGGAATAGTTTTACTAGAGGAGCAAGAGGAGCTGACGTACACTGTAAAAGATTGTTCTGAAGAGGAAGCAAGGCCAGACTGCCATGGCAAGGTGTGTGAGAGGCACTGGATGAAGCTGGTGTGGGGGGGTATGGTGATGGGCTGGCTGTGGTTGTGAAAGAAACATCAAGAATGTCTCTAGGCTGGGGTACAGTGGCTCAAGCCTATAATCCCAGTACTTTGGGAGGCTGAGGTGAGTAGATTGCTTGAGGTTAGGAGTTTGAGAGGAGGCAGAGCCATACAGCAAAACCCCCATCTCTACCAAAAAAGAAAAAAAATTAGCTGGGTGTGGTGCACTTGTGGACCTAGCTACTTGTGAAACTGAGGTAGGAAGATTACTTGAATCAAGACTTTGAGGTTGGAGTGAGCTGTGACAGTGCCACTACCCTCATGCCTGGGGCAAAGAAAAGAGAATGTTTGTCTATGCATTTTTGGCTTAAGCATTTTGATGTTTTAATGATGTTATCAAGTTAGTGTAAAATTCTGAATGTTGAGACTTCAAGTTGTAATGACTTGTCATATAAAAATGCTTTGGCTTGTCATATAAAGCATTGTTTTTTTGTTTTTGCATTTTTTTTTGGCCGGGGCTAGGTTTGAACCCGCCACCTCTGGCGTATGTGGCCAGTGCCCTACTCCTTTGAGTCACAGGTGCCGCCAAAACATTGTTTTTTTGTAGTTTTTATGGTCACTTTAGAAAATTCTAATAGTAACAATTGATTTTGTGAATATGGAATTATAATTTTAGTGTCTTTATAAGTTTGTACACTTTGGAATTCGGTAAAGTTTTGAGACTGATCATTTTGCTTTAGGCTATAGATTGCTACCTTCAAATTTTTAAATGTGTAGGCTTTTATATTTAAGCTAAATGCTTTTTGACCTTAATTTATCTTGGATTGAGACTGTGGTGGTTTCCATGCTTCAAAAAGAGAGCATAGTGCCTAGATTATAATTTTTGAATTTAGGAATTGTGATTCTCTCCATTGTAGCAGAAAAATCAGAGGAGCTGCAACTAAGATGGCATTTTTTTTTGTGGAAATAGATCATTAAACTGACTAGATTAGAAATGTTATAGAAAAGAACCAAAATTCTTGGGAACACATAACTTAAGGCAAGCCTGAAGTAGCTTGCTGTACCAGTTACAAAGAAAGGGCTCACAGTTTGACACTGTAGCTGCTGCCTGTCCTGCTTAGCAGCTGACTCATCCTGGGCCCACAGTCTGGCCCTCTAGCAGTCTGAGGGACAGTGAACTGGCCCTCTGTTTAAAAAGTTTGAGGACCCCTGGCTTAAGCGATTCTCTTGCCTCAGCCTCCCAAATAGCTGGGACTACAGGTGTGTGCCACAACGCCTGGCTATCTTTTTTGTTGTTGTTATGGTCATTGTTGTTTAGCAGGCCTGGGTGAGGTTTGTGGCCAGTGCTCTACCCACTTAGCTGCGGGCACTACCTGCTTACCAGTATTTCTGTGGGATTGCAGGGCTGAGTGCTACATTAGTACTGTGTATGTTTGTTTGTTTACTAAGTAGACATGCTCTGCTGATTATCACATGCATAATTTTAAAGGTTGAGGAATAACATAGCTATAGTAAATGAACAAATGTGAAGTGTGAAGCTTGGTGAGTTTTCACACATATATCTGCCTCTCTGTAATCACCACCCAGAAAAGGACTCAGAGTAGCATCAACATCCTAGAAGGCTCCGTGCCCTTTCCTCTTTCCAGAAAGCTAACTGCTGTTTTACCCTTCATTAGCACTGATGAGTTTTGTTTGGTTGATGCCTTCATGGAAGTGGATTCTCACAACATGGAGCTTTATCTAAGCCAGGGATTTTTCAACTGGTGTGCTGTCAAAGGAAGAATTTTTTTTTTTTTTGAGACAGAGCCTCAAATGTCGCCCTGGGTAGAGTGCCATGGTATCACAGTTCACAGCAACCTCCAAATCCTGGGCTCAAGTGATTCTCCTGCCTCAGCCTGCCAAGTAGCTGGGACTACAGGCGCTTGCCACAATGCCACCTATTTTTTTGGTTGCAGCGTCATTGTTGTTTGGCGGGCCCAGGCTGGATTTGAACCCACCAACTCAGGTATATGTGGCTGGCGCTTTAGCTGCTTGAGCCACAGGCGCCAAGCCCAAAGGAAGATTTTTAAAGATCATTAATTATTTTTCAAAAGAAATTCAAGGCATAGGAAGTGTACGTATCAAAATTAAAACCTCATTAAATTGACTATATAAATATATCATTGTTACAATAAAAATGTTTTATGTTATAATAAATACCGGCTTATTTTTAAAGTAGGTGGGATGTAGCTTTGAAAAATAAGGTTTCATGGTATGTCCATATATGGTGTGATTTGATGAAGATTTGCCTGTTTCAGCCAGAGACGCCATCTTCCAGTAATTCACCAAAATGACAAACACAGAGGGAAAAAGGAGAGGCACCCGATACATGTTCTCTAGGCCTTTTAGAAAACATAGAGTTGTTCCTTTGGCCACATATATGTGAATCTACAAGAAAGGTGATGTAGACATCAAGGGAATGGGTACTGTTCAAAAAGGCATGCCACACGAATGTTACCATGGCAAAACTGGAAGAGTCTACAGTGTTACCCAGCATGCTGTTGGCATTGTTGTAAACAAACAAGTTAAGGGCAAGATTCTTGCCAAGAGGATTAATGTCTGTATTGAGCATTTTAAGCACTCTTAAGAGCAGAGAAGACTTCCTGAAACATGTGAAGGAAAATGATCAGAAAAAGAAGGAAGCCAAAGAGAACCTAGGTTCAACTGAAGTGCCAGCCTGTTCCACCCAGAGAAGCCCACTTTGTGAGAACCAATGGAAAGGAGCCTGAGCTCCTAGAACTCATTCCCTATGAATTCATGGCATAAAGCATCTAACATAGCACACGGGAATAACCAGTGGACCCATGCTTTTAGGTGCAAGAACCTATTTATTCTCCGTGAGCTCATGGCATAATAGGTGTATAGCATAGCACACAGGATGACCAATTAGACCCCATGTAACAGTGATACAAGGTGCTGGAACCTATTTCCCATGAATTCAAAAGTCAATCAACGCTTTGTCACATTCAATGGCAAGGTGCCTCCCTGAGCTACTGGAACCTCTTCCCTATGAATTCATGGGATGGTAGTTAAAAATAATAGCCAACTGTTACTGTAAAAATGTTTCTTCTTCATTTACTACAAATGTGATTTTTTTTTTTTTTGCTGCAAAGAATTATTAAACCAAATTTTAATGTATCCTAAAAAAAAAAAAATTTGCCGATGAACACTGATACATGTTGAAATATCAGTGAGTCCCTCGCTGTGCCTAAAATAGTCAGGAGGTATAGCTCACAGTGAATGCTTAATACAGTGCTGTCTAGATTTGAAATTTGCACGTGTGTTTAATTAATACCTGTATTTCTTTAAAAAAAACTATGAGTTGTTTATTTAGTTATTTTTATTATTTTTTGTCATTTTTAATTTTTATTACATAGCATTCAATTAAGATGGACATGTTTTTAGTAAAGAAACAAAAATTAGAAGATGATGGTAGTGTGCCAGATACTGCTTCATCCAGTGCATCAGCAACTAAATTAAAAACAATTAGTCATCAATATAATGAAGGTTATTTATAATTCAGTTTTATATGTAGTTAAAGGTAATTCACCACATCCCACATGCATAATTTGTGTCAAAACATTAGCAAATGCTGCTGTGGTTCCTAAACAAATTAAAGAGACATTTATGACCTACCATTTGATCCTGTGATACCATTACTAGGTATCTACCCAGATGAACAAAAATTATTTTACAACAAAGACATTTGCACCAGAATGTTTATTGCAGCCTAGTTCACAATAGCCAAGTCATGGAAGCAGCCTAAATGTCCATCAGCCAATGAATGGATAAACAAATAGTGGTATATGCATACCATGGTATACTATGCAGCCATAAAAAGAGGGAGACTTAACATGTTTTATGTTTACCTGGATGGAGCTGGAACATATTCTTCTGAGTAAAGTATCTCGAGAATGGAAAAAATAGTATCCGGCCGGGCGTGGTGGCTCACGCCTGTTGTCCCAGCGCTGTGGGAGGCCGAGGAGAGTGGATCACCTGTGTTCAGAAGTTCGAGACCAGCTGAAGACTCGCCTGAGGCAGAGTGAGCCAGAGTGAGACCCCATCTCTACTACAACAACAAGAAGACAGCCGGACCTTGTGATCCCAGCTACATGGTGGGCAAGAGAACACTACCGGAGGAAAAGTAATTAAAAAAAAATTATAAAAAAACCCCTTCAAAGTAAGATAAGTTGAAATAAAAAAAAAGTATCCATTGTACTCTACTATTGTGAAACCAGTATATAAACACACATTCATACAAATGATAAAACACAAAGATAGTTAAGAAAGACAGGAGGGCAAGTGGAGGGAGTGTATTTGGCAGGATCTCATGTATTGTACACAATGCAAAGGTACATTTCAAAACAACTAAGTATATCATAAATGTCTTACCACAAAAATAGGTGATGTTATATTAGTTTGATTTAAGCATTCTGCATTATATATCAAATCATTGTACTATACCCCATAAATGTATACGGTTATGATTTAAAAGTTAAGTAAAAAAAAAAAAAGACATTTACAATCCATATATTCCCACTTGTCTGAAAAGCTAGTAGAATATTTAAAACAACTTCGACTCAGTAATACTAAACAAGCAAAAATATGGACCAAGTAATAACAATATCAGATAAAGCATAAGAAGTGAGTTATACAGTTGCAAAAATTGTAGCTAAGAAAATGTTATACAAGTGCAGAGTCTATTATTTCATTGGTCTTGCTGTGCAATTGTCAAAACAATATTTGGAGAAGAATATAAAAGGAAATTTTGAACATTCTGCTTTCACATAATATAATTTTTCGGTGTGTTAATGACTTATCACGGCACGCTTGAACCTATAGTTAACCTTCCATGGCATACCTGAATTATGTTGATTAAAAAAAAAGAGTATGTCTTCTTGATTTACTAACACAAACAAAACACACCACCACAGCAAAAAAAAATTTATAATTTGTAATAAAAAGGTTACAATTAAAATGCTTTAAAACCTTATTTATTTTTCTGTTAATTATAATTTAACAATTAATGAGCTATCTCAGCTTAACATTTTTTAGAATACCTTCTTTGCAAAGTCAAATTTTGGACAGGCATACTCTTTAATCTTCTTCCAAGGAGCCATGATCCAGTTTTACTTTTAATATTATTTACTTTAATATTATTCATTGCAGAAAAAGCTCATTTCACACCCATATGATATTGAGAACAGAAGAAGTGTTTCTACTGCTTTTTTTGTAATATTTAGAAATTCACTCTTGAGAGATAACCAAAAGGTTATATTATCTGTTGTTCAACATTTTAATTATAATCCTCTGTCATCTCTTATTTCTGTTAACTCTTCCTCTTCTGTAATTTTTTTTTTTTTTTTTGGAGACAGAGCCTCAGCATCTCACTTTGTCGCCCTCAGTAAAGTGCCATGGCATCATAGCTCACAGAAAACTCAAATTCTTGGGCTCAAGTGAATCTCTTGCCTTAGCCTCCCAAGTAGCTGGGACTATAGGTGCCCGCCACAACACCAGGCTATTTTTACAGACAGGATCTCATTCTGGCCCATGCTGGTCTTGAACTCCTGAGCTAAGGCAATCCACTCACCTCGGCCTTTCAGAGTGCTGGGATTAAAGTGTGAGCCACCATGCCAGCCTCTTCTGTAATATTATTAAAATGCCACATCTGAGTATTTTGGGGGATATTTCAGGGAAAACAGAACCATCTTAAATGCTGCCTACCTCTGGATAAACAGGTGAGATCTCTGGTAGTTTCATTTATAAATACTTGTTTCTTTCTTAATTCATTAGTATAAATAAGAACCTGAACTCTTGGCTTTTTGTCTTTTCAAATGATTGTTTAAAAGTTTGAGAGCAGAGGCATCAAAACAAGTTATTGAAGATGGGTGGTGGCCAGGGATAACAGGACAAGACTTCTGTAATTATACTTGCTAAATCAGGTGTGTTGTGATTGATAGAATAAAAATAAACAAATGAGTAAGATTTGTAGCCCAAGTTGTAAAAGTTTTCTTATTCTCAAACCTATAGGACCTTTTGGTGTAAATCATGGGGTGGAACTTCATTCAGATGTGATCGAGTATGCAAAGCAGAAACTGGATTTTTTCATCAGAACAAGCGAAAGTTTTGACAAGTAAGATCAAATTATGTCCATTGGGTCAGAGGGTGTTGTAGAGGACGTAAAGGAAGGGCTAGCTCGCCTTGCACAAGCTTGTACTTCTAATCCGCCTTTCGCCTGGTTCCTTCCTGCGCTAACCGAGACCAGGGCCATAGGAGCCCGATGGGTCGTGATAGGGTGTGAATTAAATGTAACAGACATTTGATCAGGTAGTAAGAAATCATTGTGTTAATGCTCACATGACCTAAACTGTGATTCAACTTTGGTAGGGCGATCTTATATTTCTGTTCTAATTTTCAAAAAATATTCTGTGTTTTTAACAATTTTAGGTTTTTGTGATCATGTACTTATATAAAGGCAATTTGTCATGAACATAATAGAAGAAAACAAAATGTTTTGCTGAATTTTCATACTTTTTTATTACCTAATTGTTTCTAAAATAAAGTTAAGTGCATTGTGTCTCTAAACAGTATATATGATGAGGTTTGCCATTTTAAAATTAGACATGCAAATTCTTTAGGGATTAAAATTTTTAGAAAAACCAAAGGTATTTTCCTTATTTTGTTGTATAGTAAATCTCGAATAAGATGAAAACAGCAAAGACTATGATGATTGGAGGTTGCCTTACATTTGGATCACGTTTATGATATTCACTTCTGTACTATTTTGTTTGAAATTTCTTGGGTCTATTTATGTAGTATAGTTCTTTCTGGAAGGGTGGCTTGTAGCTCCTGGCTCTGTAAATTGCATTACATTGCTATGGGATTTTGTGGTTAACATGTAACCTGTGGACTGCAAAGATTTACTGTGTGTGATTGCATACAGTTGCAGTGTGATTCCTTACAGAAAACATTTTTTACTTCCAGGTTTGACTTCTGTGAGCCTTCCTTTGTTACTGGCAATTGCCTGGAGATTTCTCCAGATTGTTCTCAGTATGATCGAGTGTACTGTGGGGCTGGTGTGCAGAAAGAGCATGAAGAATATATGAAGAGTCTGCTCAAAGTGGGAGGCATCCTTGTCATGCCACTGGAAGAGAAGGTCAGATTCCCTTCATAACTGACATTTTTTGTGCACTATTTACCAAGGTCTATTCCAGGCAGTTTACATGTATTGACCCTGTTAACAACTCCCTCTACTTCACAAATCGGGAAATAGGCTGGGACGGGAGCTTGCCAGGTCATAGAGTTACCCTTGGTGGAGGCAGAACCTAACTCAGATAGGCCTCTCAGAGCCTATGCTGAAGCCCTCTCCTCCTCCCTTTGAGCTCTCCCTTCATCTTTTCCCTCTCCTCACTCTCTTTTTCCCCTGCCTTTGCCTCTCCTCTTTCTTTCCCCTCCTCTTCTCCTTTTTTCTCCCCAGCTATTCTAATTTTAATTCTAATTGTTACTCTGTTATAGTTGTTCTATTATTGGGATTATTATATATAAAATAATTAGAGTAATTCTAGTGTAATTGTTACTCTAATTTCTAAATACCTTGATGGTAAGTATTGTACAGGAATCCCTGGTTAGTGGGAATCTTTTTTTTTTTTTTTTTTTTGAGATGGAGCCTCAAGCTATCCCCCTGGGTAGGGTGCCATGGCATCGCAGCTCACAGCAACCTCCAACTCCTGGGCTCAAGCGAGTCTCCTGCCTCAGCCTCCCAAGTAGCTGGGACTACAGGCGCCCGCCACAATGCCTGGCCATTTTTTGGTTGCAGCCATCATTGTTGTTTGGCGGGCCCGGGTTGGGGATTCGGACCCACCACCTTAGGTGTATGTGGCTGGTGCCTTAGCTGCTTGAGCCACAGGCGCCGAGCCGGTTAGTGGGAATCTATTTCCAAGTTTTGTTACTTGGTCATGCACTTTTGTGTTTCAGATACTGCATTTATGGAGAAAATAGATTATAATAAATGAGCAGACATGTCAGACATGAACTGGTCATCAGGAGAATGTCTCTGAGTCACAAAGAACTAGGAAAAACAAATGATAAAAAACTAGGATGGTAGTTTCGTCTCCTGGTTTTCTATTCAGTTCCATATCTCTGGGTCTCTGTTTTTGTGATAATACTGTGCTGTTTTGATCACTGTGGGCTGGTAGTACAGCCTAAAGTCTGGTAGGCTGATGACCCCAGCTTTGTTTCTATTACTAAGAATTGCCTTGTCTATACAAGGTTTTTTCTGGTTCCATACAAAATTAAGAATTATTTTTTCCAAGTCTCGAAAGTATGATGATGTTATTTTAATGGGGATGGCATTGAATCTGTAGGTTGCTTTGGGAAGTATAGACATTTTAACGATGTTGATTATTCTCAGCCAAGAGCATGGTAGGTTCTTCCATTTGGTAATAGCTTCTGATATTTCTTTTCTTAGGCGTTTGTAATTTTCTTTAAAGAGGTTCTTAATCCCTTTTGTGAGGTATACTTCTGGGTATTTCATTTTCTTTGAAGCTGTTGAGAAAGGAATTGTGCCCTTGATTACCTTCTCATCTTGCCTGTTATTGGCATATACAAAGGCTACTGATTTGTGGACATTGATTTTATATCCTGAGATGTTACTGTATTTTTTATTACTTTCAGGAGTCTTGTGGTTGAGACTCTGGGGTTCTCTAAGTATAGGATCACATATCATCAGCAAAGAGGGAGAGTTTCCCTTCCTCTGCTCCCAATTAGATGCCCTTTATTTCCTTCTCTTTGCCTGACTATATTGGCTAGAACTTCCAGCACTATGTTAAATAGTAGTGGTGATAGAGGGCAACCTTGTCTTGTTCTAGTCCTGAGTGGAAAATCCTTCAGTTTTACTCTATTCAGTATAATATTAGCTGTGGGTTACATCTTACAGCCATCTAATCTTTGATAAACCAAATAAGAACATATAGTGGGGGAAAGAATCCCTATTCAGTAGGTGCTGGGAGAACTGGATATTCACATGTAAAAGACTGAAACTGGACCTGCACCTTTTCCACTCACAAAAATTGACCCAAGATGGACAGAAGACCTAAATCTAAGGCAGAAAATAAAAATCCTCAAAGTGTGGGGAAAACACTTGAAAGCTATCAGCCTGGGGAAAGACTATGAGGAAGACTCCCCTGGCAGTTGCAACAACAAAAATAAACAATTGGGACTTAATTAAACTGAAAAGCTTCTGTATAGCTAAAGAGACAACAACCAAAGCAAATAGACAACCTACACAATGGGAAAGGATATTTGCATATTTTGAATGGGACAAAAGCTTCATAACTAGGATCTACAGAGAACTCAAATTAATCAATATAAAAAGAGCCAACAATCACTTATGTCACTGGGGAAGAGAGATGAATAGAACCTTCTCTAAAGAAGACAGATGTATGGCTAACATGAAAAAATGCTTATCAATCCTAATTATTAGAGAAATGCAAATCAAAACCACCCTGAGACATCATCTAACCCCAGTGAGAATGGCCCACATCACAAAATCTCAAAACTGCAGATGCTGATGAGATGTGAAGAGAAGGGAACACTTTTACCCTGCTGATGGGGCTGCAAATTAATACACCCTTTTTGGAAGGAAGTATGGAGAACCCTCAAAGAACTCAAACTAGACTTCCCATTTGATCCTGCAATCCCCATTACTGGGCGTATACCCAGAAGAAAAAAAAAATCCTTTTACATACTAGACTATTGCTGCTCAATTTATATTCGCCAAAATGTGGAAACAGCCTAAGTGCCCACTAACCCAGGAATGGATTAACAAGCTGTGGTGTATGTATTCAGCCACTAAAAAAGATGGAGACTGCATCTTTTGTATTAACCTGGATGGAAGTGGAACATATTATTCTTAGTAAAGCATCACAAGAATGGAGAAGCAAGAATCCTAGGTACTCAGTTCTCATATGAGGACAACTAATGACCTAATACATGGTGGGAGGTGGGGGATAGGGAGATCAGAGAGAGGGAAGGAGGGAGAGGGTGAGGGGTCACAGTGTGTGGCACATCTTTTGGGGGTGGGACTCAATTGTAAGAGGGTCTTTATCTAACAAATGCAATCAATGTAACCAGTTCTTTGTACCCCCTTCAGTGAATCCCCTATAATAAAAAAAAAAGAGAGAGATTGCACATTTTTCTGCACTTTTTAAATGTTAGCATTTATTTTGTTCAAACTAATAAATCATGGTAAAAAAATCTATAAATTATGAATAAGAGAAACTTATAGTTCTTATCCTAATGACTGCTAGTGTGTGATTCTCATAGAACTTTTCAGTTCTGTGCCTCCTTTTCCAAAAAGATTATTATACTGGTGTATAACTTCTGAGTGTTTTACTGTGTCATCATTTTGGTGCTTATACATAGGTATGGTAGCGCATTGAATTGCTGACTAAGATTATTAATTAGCTTCTTTTATTAGGCCTTAGGGTGTGTATTGTATTTCCTTATTATTACATTCCCAAACTTAAGTGAATATCCCTAGTTTTTATCATCAAATATGTCCATAAATATTTCCTTATATATGTATGAAAGATGGGTTTTTAAAAAAACATTATGACAAAATCATCATCAACCTATATAAATTAATAGTAATTTGTTACTATCTTCAAATATCTAATTCTTGTTCAAATTCTTATTGCCTCAAAAATTTCTTTAATAGTTTGTTTGAATGAGGATCCCATTTAAGGTTCATGTATTGCATTTGGTTCATCTTTTAAGTGTTTCTTTTTCCTAAGTGTTTCTATATCTATAGGTTCTTCTTTCTTTTCATTTTTCCTTGTAACTTACTTATTGAAGGAATAACGTCATTTGTCTTACAGAGTTCCTACAGTCTGGATTTTGCAGATTGCATACAGTATGTCTGGTGATATTTTTTCCCTGGGGTTTTTTTTTGGGGGGGGGCCTTTATTGTCCTTGCATTTCACTATGGATGCACAATCAAATTATTATATTTTAAAGCCACTTAAAATATTATTTGCCTGCAAGTTTATGTTGCTAACCTGACACTGAGATCATTTGTTTACTTTTTTATAACTTTGTAGGGATTGCCATTTTATGTTTTGTTTTGTTTTGTAGCTTTGTAAAATATTTGCAAGTTTCCAAAGTCTAAATAAAGAACACTCACATTTTTTTTCCATCAGTATCCCCTCCACTCTGTTCCATTCACCTTTACATAACTATTCTTGGGTTTTGTTTTTAGTTTATCTTTTTTTAAAAAAAAAATTATATAAAAAGCAAACACGACTTAGCCCCTATGGCTCAAGCAGCTAAAGCACCAGCCACATACACCTGAGCTGGTGGGTTTGAATCCAGTCCGGGCTTGCCAAACAACAATGATGACTGCAACCAAAAAATAGACGAGTGTTGTGGCAGGCGCCTGTAGTCCCAGCTACTTGGGAGGTGGAGGCAGGAGAATTACTTGAGCCTAGGAGTTGGAGGTTGCTGTGAGCTGTGATGCCATGGCACTCTATCCAGGGTGATAGTTTGAGGCTCTGTCTCAAAAAAAAAAAAAAAAAAAAAGGGCAAACACATTCCTTCCTAACCCTCCTTCAGTAAAGCCTCATACTGTTTTCATTTTGCCTATCCAGTCGCATGAGATAAGGATTTGTAGTTTAAAGATACGTATTTACACACACACGTATTTGTACCTCCAGGTACAGTCTCAGAAGCAGAAGTGCTTAAAGACTCTGCATTTTGAAACTTGCCAGCTGCCATTTAAGAGGCAATGCTGTCAGCAGAGTGAAGGAGGAGCTGGTCTGAGCCTTTGCTGACGGCCGCCTTTGTGACTCCAGCTGTAGTTGGCTGGAGTGTTCAGCAGTGCTTACACACCCCATCTTTGCTCTTTCTTTTCAGAATACTGTTTTAAATGTCTTCTCTTATACAAATATTGGTAAAATCTTTGTTTTGATGCACAGTTCATTAGACTTTTGATTGGAATTTGTGTCATAGGTAGATTAATTTCACAATTGTGGATGTCTTTACTATATTCTGTCAGCTTATCTAAAAATACTAAATAGGAGTTTATATTTCCTGAGGCTTCTTATATCATTTATCTATTATATTAAATTATTTGATGATTAAATTTCTTCATTTTAAGTAGAAATTCTCCTTTAAAAATGTTTTAGAAAATGTTTTTGCTAGTATATAAGAACGTGATTAGTTTATTGATGTTTACCTAGTACATGGCTACTTACTTCTTTCAGTTCTAAGATTCATGACATAGGTGCTTACTTTGTAGAAGATTTACTAGCTTAGGTATTTTTAGAAATGACTAGCATATAATCATAGCATGACAGAGCTGACCCAAAATAGTACTGTGACCTGTTTAGGCCATTTGGAGACTGGCCTAGTCACATAGAACACATGGGGCCATGTTGTCTAATTGGGAAATGTTTTGATAATTTACATTGCAGTCTGTTAGCCACCAAATGTCAGTGCATTCTTGGGGTGATGTCAGGGTGAAACTTGTTTCAGTGCTTCAGTACTTATCTCCAAAGAATAAGGATAATCACCTGGATATTCAAGATGACAGGTTTACATCTAAGAAAGTAACAATGATACTGTAGTAATATCTGTTATTTGGTGCCTATCACATTCTTACTGAAAGAATGACTTTTTATGTTTACACCTCTCAGAAGAAACAAGACTCAATATAGGTTGAGTGTTGCAGCAGGTGGTTCTTTCAATTTTGAGAATTGCTGTTTTAGGCTTTATTTTGTTTTATAACTTTGCAAAATATTTACAAGTTTTCAAATACTAAATAAGGAGTACTCAGAATTTTTTTACCTTAATTACTTTTCCATAGGACAGCTCTGCCCCCTTTTTTTTCTGCCTACAATGTTGACTTTATTCTTGCAGTTTTTGGCTGGGGCTGTGTTTGAACCCACCAACTCTGGCATCTGGGGCCAGTGCCCTACTCCTTTGAGCCACAGGCACCGCCCAAAGAATAATCTCTTGTTGCTGATTTCTTTCTTTCTTTCTTTTTTTTTTTTTTTTTTGAGACAGAGTTTATTTTGTCGTCCTCGGTAGAGTGCCATGGCATCATACAGCTCACAGCAACCTCCAGCTCCTGGATTTAGGAGATTCTCTTGCTTCAGACTGTCGAGTAGCTGGGACTACAGGCGCCCACCTGGCTATTTTTTTGTTGCAGTTTGGCTGGGGCTGGGTTCGAACCTGCGACCCTTGGTATATGGGACTGGCGCCCTACCCACTGAGCCATAGGCGGCACCCCCTTATTCTTGATCTGATTGTTCCTTCTTGTTACTCTTTCAGTAGTTGCCTGTAAATGGAAGTTAAGTCTAGGGCTTGGACATATTCAGGCTAAGCATTTTTATCAGAATACTCATAACAGAGGTATACATCATGGCACATCATATCAGTGATCTATGTTGTCAGATGATTTCATTTTATTGTAGTTATGTATTTTTAGAATATGTAGGAATAATTGTATTTAAATATAAGCTATCTAATAGCCAAATCTTTTGAATATTTTCATTCTGTCTTCGGGATAGTTGACTAAGATAACGCGCACAGGCCCTTCAGCTTGGGAAACCAAAAAGATTCTGGCTGTTTCTTTTGCACCTCTGATCCAGCCCTGCCATTCAGAGTCAGGAAAATCAAGACTTGTCCAGTTACGTAAGTACATTGAACTTTATTTCATCTTTAACTGTAAATATTACTACTATTATTATTATTTTAAGAAAGAGTCTTGCTCTCTTGCCCAGCATAGAGTGCAGTGGCATCATCATAGCTCACTGCAGCCTCAAACTCCTGGGCTCAAGCTATTCTCCTGCCTCAGTCTCCTGAGTAGCTGGGAGTATAGATATGTACCATGATGCCTAGCTAATTTTTTCTATTTTTAGTAGATGTGGGATCTAGCTCTCTTGCTCTGTGTTTGAACTCAGTACTCCTCCAGCCTCAGCTTCCTAGAGTGTAAGGATTGCAGGTGTGAGCCACCATCCCCAGCCTGTTTTTTAGATCCTTTTAATCTCATTAGAATTTTAGGGTTAGGGTTATGATTATGGTTAAAATTTTAAAGTAAACAAAATTTACAAGGAACTTTTTGATATTAAAGAACATTTTTCCTTCTACTGAAACTTTAAGATTCTATAAGCGATTTCAAGCATTTAAAAAAATTACATTTGTGAGCCAGGTGCAGTGATTTGCATCTCTAATCCCAGCTACTTGTGAGGCTTAGGTAGGAGGATTGTTTGAGCCCAAGAGTTTGAAGCTACAGTGAGCTGTGATTATCTCACTACACTGTAGCTTAACAGAGTGAGACCCCATGTCTTAAAAAAAAAATTCTTTGGCTCGGCGCCTGTGGCTCAAGCGGCTAAGGCGCCAGCCACATACACCTAAGGTGGCAGGTTCGAATCCCTAGCCCGGGCCCGCCAAACAACAATCATGGCTGCAACCAAAAAATGGCCAGGCGTTGTGGTGGGCGCCTGTAGTCCCAGCTACTTGGGAGGCTGAGGCAGGAGACTCGCTTGAGTCCAGGA